TTTTTTGTTAATTAGCCTTTTCCACACTAAATTAGTAAGTTTCAAACTCGCTGGAATCAACTGAACTATGAAAAATATTTCTTGCCCATAGCACACGGCATTCGGGGGGATTTTTTCTTATCTTGAACACAATTTTTATCTGCATAATTTTTTTTATCAACAAACTCAAAGAAGTTTTCTCAAGTGTTACTTGCAAAGGCAATGGAGAAGAAAAAAATCAAGCGAATTGTACTTTGCTGCAGGCAATTTTTCCAGATATATATAATGCTCTCAATTTAAACATAACTGTAAACAATGATTGTACGTACTATACATATATGTGGTATAGATTCGTCAGCTATCATCTCCACATTCATTGATTTCTGAGCGCAACAGGAAGGAAATGCTGCGACACAAAAAACAGCAACGAGGTAACAAAAAGTAAAATAAAACAAAAACCAATTAATTATCACAACTTGTTGTTGAAATTATGTAGGTATAAGGTCTGGCAAACAGATGTACGCATATGTGTCATGAAATTCTACTCGCAAGTGAGCACATTAATAAGCATATGTTGTGTTCTTCCATATATATTGTATGCACTTATGAATGTATGTATGTATATACTTGCATATACCTACATAGAGTATATAATATTTCCTACAACCGAGTGAATAATTATGATATAGTGTGCTGTTCTTTTGTTTTTTTTTTTTTTGTGGCAGCTTGGTGCTGACAAGCATCTTCTAGAATCCCAGTGTTTTAACATATTTGTATTTTTCGCTTAATTARTTTTGTGTTTATTGTTTTTGTTTTGCTTGCTTGGGCGAATAATGAGCACGTCTACGCTTTAAAGGCTTGATTTATTCTATTTTGAAATAGTTTGTGCCTGTTATTAAGATTTTTGTTCTTATTCTGTAAAAATGCTTATAATAATATAGTATATAGTTTCGGTGTGTGCTTCTTTGAGCTTTCATTAGGCGCTGGAGTGGAAAATTTTATTATAAAATTAAATTTTTCGCTATTATAAAGTARTTCCCGTGGTAGGAGATCGGGATTCTATTCAGCTAGAAGTTCAATTTATTGCTGCTGCGTAGGCACACAAAAAAGTCGGAAGCTCAAGGAATATAAACAAATGAAAGTAAATTCTTCAGAAAGCTGTTAAAGCTACATATATGTATGAAACTCAACGAAATTTTCATATAAATAATTACGTGACTTTTATATTGCTTTTAGGTTAAATAATTTAGTACAATAATAGTTATGATTTAATCTCGATTAATAACAAAGCTAGTTGCTTACTTTCAGAAGTATAATATAACAAAAAGGTTATCTCTGTAATCAACTATATATTAATGATAATGGCATGTAATAACAATAATAGTAGGTAYCTATACATATGTATTTATATAATATATATAACTCCATGGATTGTTTTTAATAAACCTAATGCTTATGTGAGTGTTAGCAGATTAAAATGAATTGTGCAGTAAATGCATTTTATATAAAATTAAACAAAAATAGAAAAATTAAAAAAAAACAAG